GCCCCTGGATGTGTGTCTGCAGGTGCGGAATGTGACTCGGGATGGGGGCTTTGGCCCGTGGTCACCATGGCAACCATGTGAGCACTTAGATGGGGACAACTCAGGGTCTTGCTTATGTCGGGCTCGAGCCTGTGACACCCCCCAACCCCGCTGTGGGGGCCAAGACTGTGTGGGGCCAGCCATCCACATCGCCAACTGCTCCAGGTATGTGAGGATACAGGGCTTGCATGGCTACTGTCTTAACCTAGACTGCGGCACCCGCAGCCAGGTGTTTGCCCTGAGGGATGGAAACCACTTCAGGGCTCTGCAAGGGACTAGACAAGTAGCTAAAGTCTGAGGCAGGAAGCGTGAGCCCTGGGGGACTTTCCATTCTAGTGGGAGAGAAGTTCTGCCTTGTGGGGGCTCGTGATACAAAGAGGAAGGCTAGACAGACATGGGAGTCACCCCTGGACAGATTTTAGCCTTGATAAGCCTTACTGTCCTAAACATGAGGGACAGCATGGGATGGTGGTAAGGCAGGCAGACCTGGTGCCAATCCTGGATTGCCACTGTCTGGAGGTGTGACCTTGGCCACGCCACCTATCCACTCTGAGCTTCTCTAGGTGAGGGTTACACTCCCAACCCCAAGGGTTGTTGAGAGGGTTACAGGAGGTATTATATATAAAGTGCTTGCACACTGCCTAGTACCTGGGGAGTCCATAAAGTAGTTATCACAACTAATCCACAATTCTGGACACTCTTAAAATAACTTAATTCTGTATACATTTATTAATTGAACTGTCACAACAACCTCATGGTAGTAGGAATACAATCATTATCCTTACTTTAAAGATAAGAGTATGATGAGGCACACGGAAGGTTTCAGTAGCTTGCTCAGGCTTATACAGCCAGTAAATGGTAGAGCCAAAATTTGAAAATTGGAGTCAAAGTAGACAAGAGTGGGTGGTGTCTGAGTTTGGAGCAATGCACGTGCAGTGGTAGAACAGGGAAGGGAGCATGCCTATGAGTGCAAGGGTTGGCTAACCAAGAAGGTTGAAACAAAGTTTGCACATTGGAAAGGCAACTGGGGCCTTCTCTAGAGAATGCATCCTTTTGCCCTGTGAGTAGAGGTCATGTCCTGTCTCTGTACCCTTAGTCTTGAGCACAGCCTGACATATGCCAGAAGGCTCTCAAGACATGTTTGAGGAATGAATGAACAAATGAATGAATGAATCACTGTCTGGCCCTTCCTGACAACAAAATCCAACTGCCCAGATGTAGACTAGATCAGAGAAGCTAGGGCTCAGAGGTCATCTGTCTCTGTCCCCTCCGACCCCCCAGGAATGGGGCGTGGACCGCGTGGTCGTCGTGGGCCCTGTGCAGCACGACCTGTGGGATAGGATTCCAGGTCCGCCAGCGAACTTGCAGCAACCCCGCTCCCCGCCACGGGGGCCGCATCTGCGTGGGCAAGAGCCGGGAGGAGCGGTGAGCTTGGCTGTGGCTGGGGATTTCTGAGACGGAGAAGCTAGCCCTGAGGTCCCAGACTTTTGGGGGGGGGGGGCTCCGTAGAAAATAGCCGGGATTTTCCGGGCGACTCAGTGGATTCCTGTCCTCCCCAGTTTGCACTCCCAGGGACCTCCTATTAGGGAAGGGGGTGCTTGCTCCCTAGAGTGATGACCCTCTCCCTTCATACCCCTCAGGTTCTGTAACGAAAACACACCTTGCCCGGTACCCATCTTCTGGGCATCCTGGGGCTCCTGGAGCAAGTGTAGCAGCAACTGTGGGGGCGGCGTACAGTCCCGGCGTCGGGCCTGTGAGAACGGCGACTCCTGCCCGGGCTGCGCAGTGGTGAGGGCCTGGGCGGGCCCTGGGGCGCGGGCGGGCCCGGG